GCAGGCATGGCATTCTGTAATATTTAATTTTTGCCATAAAATATTTTTATTATTTCTGTGTTGTAACCTAGTGGGATTTATTCTGTGTACTGTATTATTTTCTATAACTTTGTCATTAAAAAAATGGTAGTATATCTATACTGCCTCTTGAAGAAAAAAGGAAAAAAAGAAAGAAACCTATTTTTTGAAACTCTGTTGAGTTTTGAAAGCACATCTTGAAATCCTTATGAGTACCAAAACAATAGCATCCACAGCCATTTATTTTGATACACCATAAAATCCTTGACTTCTCATGATAGAAGAACACTAAACATTCCGAAGATATTTCAAAATCTCTCCTTTGGAACATAATACAACTAAAAAAATGAGTAATAAGCATTCCTATTTCTACAGTGTCTGTGTGCTTTCTTCCCCTACCCCTGTTACATCACCATCTTAACTTGGCAAGACTCTTTGTTTACCATTCATGGACATCGTTTTCCTTTCCAATTATTTATCATTTATTTATGAAAGATACAACAGTATATACAAGAATGTTTTCTTTATTTTAACTTCTATGTCCTTGCTATATGCAAAAAAATTATGTGATTATTTGCTTTGAAAATCAGTTCACCAGAAATGCACTAAAGGTCTACCATGTGCCAGAAACTTGCTAGAAGGCTGACAGGGTTTGGCAGTGAGTATGGATATATGGGGGGGGGGGGGCGTATATAAATGCATGAGACATGTTTGCGCTCAGCCAGGTGTCTGCTTGAGATTCTCTGTCTTCCCTGCCCTTCCCCCCCAATAAATCTTGAAAAGAAAAATATCTTTTAATTTGAGAACTGTATGTTATTTTAAGCTACTCTCAAGCTAAATGGCATAGGTTACGTGTCTTAAAACTCCACTAAAATGTTCTTTTTTTGGTCTCATTTTGTAATTGTTGCCATCAAAGCAACATGGATAAGAGAGAAAAGATCTATAGACAGACAATGATAACAAATAAAAAATATTACTCATTAAAACAAAACAAAAACAAGCACAGAATCTCAGTTAGATTTGGCTAAATAAGGTGGCAAAGATACTGATGGGTTCACATGGAAGGACACTGGCAGATTTTGAACTCTGTGTTGAAAGGATAAGTATTGGGCATACCAGTAAGGTGCTTCATGCCTTACTGCCTGTTCCTATAAACTTTATAACAAATTTGTGTGGTAAAGATCGGTGGCCCCATCTTAGAGTGAGTGAGAACATTCGAAGCTGTTATCTGCCCAAGACCACACTGTCAGCCAGTGGCCAGGTCAGAGACCAAAGTACAGAGACCTTCCCCTGTACTAGGGCTTCCCCTACCCCTCCATTCCTCCTACGGACAATATCCTGAAATTAAAGACCCATGTATGCATTGAACAGAAATGTACAGCTCTATCTGCTTATAGATTTAGAAAAGGAGGAAGTATACTTCTAACCAAACCAATAATTTTACATTATTTTTCAAGACCATTAAATGCAATAACTTACTTTTTCACTGTACTGTAAAAAATAGAAGTCCTCATTCCTTTCGTACTAGTACAGAATTTCTTGAACTTTTAGAATATGCATTCTTAGAATATAGTATTTCTTTAAACATTTTATTTGGTGCCCATTAAAATAATTTCATTCTGAAGAATTTTTAATAGAAATGTGGAGTAGATATTATGGATATATTTGGATTGATAGGTAAATATCAGATATCTCTTATTCCATTTACTTCACTGTGAGCACATTTGTTAAAATTAAATTATAGGGGCGCCTGGGTGGCTCAGTCGTTAAGCGTCTGCCTTCGGCTCAGGTCATGATCCCAGGGTCCTGGGATCGAGCCCCGCATCGGGCTCCCTGCTCGGCGGGAAGCCTGCTTCTCCTTCTCCCACTCCCCCTGCTTGTGTTCCCTCTCTCGCTGTGTCTCTCTCTGTCAAATAAATAAATAAAATCTTTTAAAAAATTAAATTAAATTAAATTAAATTATATCTTATGTATGATTTTTATTGTTTTATGATTGTTTTGAATCCCTAGTATCTAATTTATTTCAGCAGACATAATATACATGTCTTTCTTTAGAGTTTAATGCGATCTTTCCAAATGCAACAGAGCTTTCAGGAACATGCAGTTCTGTGTTTATATGCCGGACAATGCTGAGATATACTAGGCACCCCTAAAAGGGATTTTAGAATATTACATACCCCTTGAAATACCAAGAACAGCAATGCTTTGTTTGACTGAGCTGGCCTGAAGATTTGTACTGCATAGTAACAACGTTTGTCATTCTAAGGATCATTAGCACATGCTGTCCTGCTCACCTGAACACTTAAGACTTGGGAGGAGTAAATAACATTCCTTTGCCCGATGTTAAGCAACCCCCTTCCAACACACACACACACACACACACACACACACACACGCACACACACGTTATCTGACTTTATTTCCAGGCTTTTGTTATTTTAAACCTCTTTCCTTGATGTCAACTTCTTTAATCAACTGATTAGTTTTATATGATATAGGTTTTTTGAATGAGGAAGATGAGGTTTCTGAATCCCATGCTTAGACAACCATTTAGTTACTCTCTTACCTAAACAAAGCCTTAAGTCTCTCATCTGTGTAATGGGCATCAAAACGCTTAGTATGATTATTTTGTTTTCAAGTTTAAGTGAGAAATAGATGTTTAAAAATTCCTGACATCCTTTCTTAAATATTAATTTTCCTGTCCTTACCTTTTAGGTATGGACAACATAGGATGTTGTAAGGATCCAATTAACTAACATGAGGTATAGTGACAGGTGAAGAGCACAGAATTTGAGTCAGAACTGGGTTCAAATCTTGGCTCTGCCACTTATCAGCTGTGTGACCCTGGGTGTTATTTAATTTATTAAAATAGTTTCTTAATTTGTAAAATGGGAATAATAATTCCTATTTCATACAGTTGTTGTGCATATAACATGAAATGTATATAAATTGCTCTGTTTGGGGCCTGATGTCTACCACACATTGCTAAGGTCTTATTAAAATACTCTAGCCCAATTATCTGTGGTCTGACTTCCATTCAGCTTCTCCGAAGATGTCTTCTCAACTAGATTTTAAGTATTTGAGATTCAGGGACCAGATCTGACTCCTTATCGAACTTTGTAGAATCACCTAGAATAGTGCCAAGTGCATTATGCCAAAACTTGTTCAATTTCAGGCCAGTAGAATAAATGCCTGAGATTTTTGGCCTACCCACCTGTCAGTCTTGGGATGGTCAGTAGGAGCAACAGGTTTGGGTAAATCTTTACTTATAATGGGAGCTGAATCAAATTCATAGGTTTTCCAAGTGTAATACCACAGTGATTGTATTAAATGACTAGAATTCTATGAAGGGTTCTGTACTTGGCTCACATTTCTATAATAACCATTAATCTATTCTGTACCTAGGCCATATCTACTGCATTGCTTTAAAAAATGGGTGTGTGGGCTGCCATTGATGTTATATAATACAGCCTGCTACTTAGTACATACAGTATACTGTAACATATACTGTGTGCTCTCTAATGTCTCTCTAATGAGCACATAGTAATGTTATACCATATAATCTCATTATGATTAGTTATAAGGAAGAAAGTAATATAAAAAGAAGAGAGAGGGGCACCTGGGTGGCTCAGTTGGTTAAGCATCTGCTTTTGGCTTGGGTCATGATCCCGGGGCTCTGGGGTTGAGCCCCTCATTGGGCTCCCTGCTCAGCAGGGAGTCTGCTTCTCCCTCGTCATCTGCCCTTCCACGCCGCTTGTGTGCTCTCTCTCGCTCTCAAATAACTAAATAAAATATTTTTAAAAAGGAGAGAAAAGGAATGAATATAATCAAAAGGAGAATGATCAGGTTGAGTAGATGGTAAATTCCAGCAAAGACTGCCTTGGCCACTGCTTTTCTAATTTTCATATATTGGGCCTCTTTAGTCTTATTATTCATGTTATAAGTTTTGCTGTTGCAAAATACCATATTTGTAAAATCATTTATAAAATCAGCTGTAATGTACTTAAAATATACATTTTTATAACACACTAATGTTAATTATTTGGTAACTTGAAGTCATTTAAAAATACATTCTTGGCTAACCAGGAAAAATAATTTTGGGTGCCAAAATTTTAATATCTTTAAAAGAAAAATAAAACACACTGTCAAATTTCCAATGCTTTTCAAAATCTTAATTTTTTCTTCAAGATTTGCTTATGCAGTGTGGATCTTTTTTGAAGTTCTACACAATCTGTCACTTGATGCACTATCCCAATGAGGTAGATCTTACTTAACTTTTTATTAATAACAACACAAAACACAGAAAGTTGAATGGTGATCTTAGAAGGTCACAAAATATGAAACAATCAGAATGGTATTTTAGGGTTGTAGGCTTTCCTGCCTGATTAATTATCTTAGAGTCTTTTATGCAGTCTTGGTTATGGAGAAATTGAAAAGTAAACGTGTAGGGTCTAATTGCTGTATATTAATTATTTTCAGACCAAAGGGGTTGCAAGCTTCCAGTTCCTGTTACTGTGTTTGTTTAAAATATTTCTGTAAATCAGCAAGGCCTGTTTTATCCAGTCTTAGCCAAATCAAATATGATCCCTATACTTTCCCATTTGTGTTTGAAGATATAGCAGAAGTACTCATTATTATAGTATTTATTGAAGTGAAAACTGGTATATGATTGTATGCATGCCTAACAGAGTTGAAATAAAGGCTGTGAAATTAAAGAATAATTGGAAAGATTGATGTGTTCTTCTCTACCATGTATTTGTAGCATTTGTTTAAGGGCTAACGCTCTTGGTTTAGTCCCATAGTAAAGAATTCATTAGAAGTTTTAGGATTTCTCAATTGCTCCTAAGTAAGATATATGAAAAGCACTTTTCAGATAAATGCTACGGAAAGTTAATAAGAAAAAGAGGCTGTTTTCTTACACCGTGTCCTCTGATTTCAATTTTGTTTTCATCTTCCTTTTTTCCCCCTTAATTTAATTTCAGAGGGCTGCTGAAGTATCAAGCTAATTTAGATACCCACCCTCCTGGCTGCATCAATCCTAATGGAACCCGCTACCAGCATGTTCACTTACCAGACCATGGCTTGGAACATTTTCATGAATCTTTCCCTGGAGGACCTTCAAAACCAGATGAACTTACCCAAAACAGATCCGTGAACATTTGTATGGAAGAGCCCAGGTTTCAAGCTAATTTTCCACAGGTCAGATTAATTTTATATCTTTGATGGTCTCCTCAAGTCCATATTTCCGTAATTATTGATCAGCATTGCATTTAAACATGTTTTTGGAGGTTTATAAAGCAATTGTAGAACATTTCAGGATGTTTCAGAAGCAAGATAGTACCTATTTTTCCATTAGAGGCAGCTGCCAGGTCAAGGAGAAAGACCTATGATATTACAGAATATGGAAAATTCTGCTCAACTGGCCATGTAATCTTTGCCTACTGTGGCACTGGTACTTGCCTAAAGAGAAGTGACAAAGACATTTTCCCTATCCACTGAGAAAAGTAGGTTGAATAATAAAAGCAATAGTGAAAGAACTAATACTAATTGTAATTATTATTATTGTATAGCATAATATTGTGGTATGATATTATGAATGATATAAATGATAAATTGTAAAATCAATTTATTGAATGTTTGGTATCATCTGCTAGGTACTGTGCTAAAATGTACTGCATGCATAATTTCTTTTAATATTCACAATAGCCCTTTGAAGCAATTACTATCATCCTTGATTTTCTGATGAAGAAATTGTGACTTCAATACATAAAAGACCTTGAGCAAACTCTACAACCAAATACAGGCAGAAGTAGAGTCCAAAACCAGGTCTTTGACTAAAATACTTGCTCTTGGAAAAGTTCTTACCCAAATACACAGCGAGTGGTTCCATAAGAGCCCTAATCTTCCCATGTGGGTATGGGAGCTGTCCATGTGGGAATTAACAGTCTTTGCCTATGGGACAGTGATGCCAAATGTCTCTTTTCAGAAGAGAAGAAAGAAGAGTGAAAAAGTAGAGTGAATTTGTAGATGACTTTGGAATGAGTATGTTAGTCTTGTGTTTATTTTTAATAATAATCCTCTAGGTTTCTCATAGACTTTGCAATTTGCAGAGTTTTCTTGGCTTCACACAATGCTAGCTGTTAGGCAGGGAAGGTACTGTGAGTCCCATTTTACGTATGTGGAACTTGATGCTCAAAGGGTAAGTGACTGTCTCAAAGTTGCAAGACTGCTGCATTGCAGGGCTCGCCTACTGCTCACACAGCATGCAACTAAATATCAGGAAGAGGCATGATCTGTCTGCATGGAAGGAAAAAGCTCTGAGATAGCTATGTAAATAAGGTTTAAAAAAGTAACCATTAAAATAAGTTTGGGTCAGTGGCCTCCCAGTGATGGGGGAAATATGGTGTGCAGTTCTAGGAGAAGGATTGGCCACACAGACAGGACAGGCTTCTGTACTTCTAAGCATATGCAGTGGGTTATCCTGGGGTTGGGGCTATCTATCCAGCACACATGCAAAATCGTTACACTTTCCAAATTCTATATAATACCTTCTGTTCATATTATTTTTATTATGTAAAAGTAAGTTGTAAGCAACATGCTTAGTATACTCTATATTTTAAAATACGTTCATATACATTTTATATTGTATATACATGTATGTGTACATTATGCATATATTATATGCATTAAAAACACCCAGAGTTGAGTAAAAGGCATAGCATAAGAAAAACAATGATATTGTAATACTGATGGAATGGGACAGATGGTAGCCATACTTTATAGTGAACATAGGATAATGTGTAAACTTGTCAAATCACTAAGTTGTACACCTGAAACTAATATAATATTGTGTGTCAACTACACTCAAGTAAAAAATAAATAAATAAATAAGCGTTAAAAAACCCCTTACCTGACATTTTGAAGAATTCCAGTTACTCCTGAAAATTAAAACATTTTAATACCTTAAAATAAAAAAAAAAGTATTCATACATATATCCAGGATTTTTTTTTTTAACAAACATTGGACTGGTGCATTTTTTTCTAAAGGTGTCTTCAGATTTATTTGAGCATTTAACTTCCTTTCTTCTCTTTTTAGATGAAGATATTGCATATACATACATTATGTATTTATTCTGTATGCACAGAAGGAAATATGAAACAAAGTATGCATACCTGTTAATGTGGCACATTACTTCTTTTGTTTTATATTTAGTCTTGTTTGAATAAGTCACAGTGAGCACCTTATTTTTTACAGATTTTTCTTTACGTTTTATTATTTAAAATACAGATTACAATACCATTACTGTAATGTATGAAATAAACAATTGAGCAAGATATAAAGATTCCTTCAACACAAGTATTTCTTAAAGTATATTTTAAAAATTCTCCATTAGACTTGGCTTTGGATTTCTGGACCTTTGTGCCTGTATTGTGCTGAAAGACTTTACAGGTGTATCCGGAGCAATAAACCAGTTACCATCATCTCGGTCATAAGCCATCCCTCAGATGTCATGGAAATCCGAATGATCAAAGAAAATTTTAAAGCAAGACCTGGCCAGGTGAGTCAGTGTTCAGCAACTTTTATTTATATATGTATTTATTTATTTTAATTTTTTAAGGGAGGGGAGGGGCAGAGGGGAAGAGAGACTTAAGCAGGCTCCATGCACAGCACAGAGCTGGACACAGAGCTTGATCTCGCAAGCCTGAGATCATGACCTGAGCTGAAATCAAGAGTCAGATGCTTCACTGACTGAGCCACCTAGGCGCCCCAAATTTCCTTTATCTTTATATAATTTTTAAAAATTAGTATTCATGCCATCATTAGAATACTTACACTTCTTTCTTGGTCATTTAAAAATTATGTTTGTTGTTTTTTAGTATATTATTCTACATTGTCCCAGTGTGTCTGCGTTAGAAAATCATCCATTTACCCTTACAATGGTAAGAAACTTGTTTTGATTTTTAAAATTTTTAGAGTGACATGCATCTTTTTCTTTTGTGTGTGTGTATTCTACCTCATTCTAAAAATCATTCAAGGCGATCACAATGCCCTAAATGTTAAAGAAAGCCATTTTTTTATACAAAGAAATATTATCTGTTCAGAAACTTTGTAACTCTTTATTATTTTTGGACACTTTACAATTCAGGAAGCAATATATTTGAAATGTATTAAAGATTGATGATTCAAAATACAGAAAATTTCCTGGATATTTACATTTTTCCTTTTATGAAATATGTACCAAAATATAGTATGTATGGTTTTTTTAGAGAGATTGAATTTAATGACAAAAAGGGTACTCTGAGTCGAGGTGGAAGCATAAGAAAATCCAGGCAGTGTTTAGAAAGGAAAAAGTCCATTGTAATTGATGCCCAGGCTGTGTGTGAGGGAGGGAAAGGAAAATAAAGTTGAAAAAATAAAATGGAATAAATATTAGGTGGGGGAAAGATCTGGCTAAGTAATGGTGTCACCAAATATTTTTAGCCAATCAGACATTGTTTAACATTCTTTTTTGCATTGTAAGTATAGCATGAGCATATTATCAAAAAGTAAACAATTCACTTTTCCTCATTTCCCCCACTTTTCAATCCTCTTTCTTCTCCAGTATTTGGCATATATTCTTCCAGACATTTTCCTCTATACTTAGGCATATATAGATGTTTGACATTCATTTGCTGGATCATTTGTTTTATAATTTGCTCTTTTTACTCAACAATATGTCATTGACAACTTTCCATGTTACTCTATTTGCATATGCCTCATTCTTTTTTAATGACTGCCTAATATTTCACAGTAGGATAGTACTGTAATTTATTTAATATTTCCCATTGATGATGGAGACTTGAGTTTTTTTTTTTCCAATTTCTAGCAAAGGTAACTAAGAACAGGACCCACATGTTTAAATATGTGCTTAAGATATGCAAATAAAATTGAACAGATGCAGGGACAGAAGAATCACTGGGTGCTTAAGTGCTGAGATGTAGGGGTGGGGCTATCCTGGGAATGACAACAACTTTTTTTTTTTCAAGATTTATTTATTTATTTGAGAGAGGCCGGGGAGGGGCAGACTCTGCAATGAGCATGGAGCCCAGCGCAGGGCTTGAGCTCACAACCCCGAGATCACAACCGGAGTTGAACCTAAGAGTTGGATGCTTAACTGACGGCACCATCCAGCTGCCCCAAGAATAGCAACCATTTTCAGATTTGATGTGTTAGGTTGAAAACTTGGAACCCTTGGCCACGTTACTTCATCTTTCCGTGCATTTGTTTCCTCAGAGTAATACTGTGATAAAAACAGTATCTACTCCTAGGTATGTTGTGTGTTTAAGTGAACTCCCACAAGTAAAGCATATAGAACAAAGCCTGGAACATGGAAGGTGCGAGGTACGTGTAAATATATGCTAGCAATTATTACGATTTTTGTTTTCATTGTGAGTTTGCCCCTTGAGAACATGTACTTGTGAAGACAGGTCAAAAAAATCTATATTTAAGGGATAAAAGAAACAAAAAGGAAGTGTCAGGGAGTTAGAGAAAAAACAGACATGATTTGTTCAACAGCATTTCTTTAAAGGAAAAATATATTTTTGCTTCAGTTCCTTCAAATTTTGCATTCTGTTTGTAGGTAGCAGACTTATTTATTAATGATTAAAGAAAGGTAGTTTGGCATCTAGTGAAATGGTTGACAACATTCCATTTTATCAAGGAAGATGGCAACACTGGCCTCCTTGGGGAAGAAATTAATTTACTGTTGTTTCTTCGACCTGATAATAGAGGAGTACAGTCCAGACACCCTTTCATCTGGTGCCATGTGGGTGGCTGGCTAGAGTGAGAGGGGAAATGTGTTGTTAGGAGGAATAGTGAAAACCTAGTTGCCTTCGTGGGATTGAAAGCCAGGACCTCAGAGTCCAGGACCCAGCCATCACCAGAGCCAAGTAGGCATGTCATGCCCTTCACTGCTCTAGGCTATGCATGCCCTACAACATGGTTTAATATTGCCCTCGTTCCAGGAGACCTTAGGATCCTTGGTGAGTAAATGTGACAAACAAACCTTCCTGTATGATGCTTCAGCTGAATCATGAAGGCATTCTCACATGATTGCATCCACTACAGTCAGAAGCACCGTGTTTAGTTCTGGTAGTTTAAGACACATTTCCATTTCTCTGATTGCATGTATCCCATGAATATGAAGTTGGTAACATTAAAAAGAAGGGAATAGGGAGAAAGTATGCATGTACGTTTGTCTTTACTTAAGTAGTTTAAAGAGTTTGGTCTACTCTTGGGGTCATACCAAATTTACTTCTGAAGTTAATCTTTCTTTGTGTGCAACTTTTTTTTTTTTTTTTCCACCTTTAGTGAGGTGTAATTGAAAAATGAAAAAGTTGTATATATTTAAGGTGTGTGACTTGAGACTTTATTTTGAAAATAGTTTCTTCACCATAGCATTAAATAGAGAATATGGGATAAGAAAAGAAGGTAGTTGCTGAATGATAAATATAGAGAAGAGAGGTTTTTTTTTTTTTTTACAAAAATATTTCCCAACATACACAAAAGTAGAGAGAATGGTATAATGGACCGCCATGTTCTCATCACCCAGCTTCAGTAAAAACAAAGAATATAGTTAATTTTTGGTATACATTCTATCACTGAAAATGTTATGCTCCTCAAAACAGAAAATCCAAGAATTTTTCTCTTATGGTACATGCCAAGAAGAGGCTTTTAGATCTACTCTCTTTCAGTTGTCTTAGGATCCTTTCACAGGGCAAAGGAGAAATTCAGAAAAGAGCTGTGTGTGGGACATACGGGCTCCTGGTGGCCTGACCTGATTCCCAAGCACGTGATTGGGGCAAGTGCTGTGATAGGCCTGTGGCTGGCTGCAGGCACAATTAGGAGGGAGAGAGAAGCGGGGGAAGGGGACAGACCAGATGGAAGAGTAACCAGAAGTAGGAGCCAGAGTTAGGAAAAGGAGGACAATTATATGTAATGTAATATTCACACAAAAAACATGAACTTGAGAATTCAGCCCCACTCTGTCACTCATGGGTTCTGTGCCTGGGAGGGTATCTCTGGTGGTGGTCAGTATTTGGTAACTACACTATTGTTATTTTTAATAATCCTAGAATGTTTCCTTTTAATTTGGATTTTTGCCTTCACTTCTGCAATTATTTATTTATTTTTTTTGAGAAGCAGGGATAGCACATCAATGTGGTTTTTCAACCTGAAAATGAAAAATTTGGGCGATATCACAGTAGTCTCAGCTTTTGAAAATCTGTCATGTAGGTGAAGGATTAGATATTTTTCCCTTGGGATCCCAAGGTGTAGAAATAAGAATAACAGTAAAAAGTTTTAGAGAAATATATTTTGATTCAATATGGTAAAGACATTTCTAACAATGAGACCAGTCCAGAAACTTAGAAAGCCATCTCCCTGGAATGTTTAGAAGGAGATTTCTGCTAGATCAGGACTTTCCTGCTTGGGCATTATTGACATTTTGGGTCAGATAATTCTTTGCTGTGGCATGTTGTCCTGTGCATTATAAGATGTTTATCAACACTGGTAGCCACTACCCACTAGCTGCCAACAGTACCCCTGACTTGTGACAATGAGAAATGTCTCCAGACATTGCCAAATAAACCTTGAAGGGCAGAATTGCCAGCAGTTAACAACCATTATGTTAGATCAGTAGTTGCCCAACACAGCTTACAGTGCCCTTAGGATAGTGCTTATACAGTCTTCACGATGCTCTTTATGAGAAGGGAGAATTTAGGAGGCACGAGCAAAGGTGGAGGGTTACAATGCCTAACTTGTGTTCTGGGGACTCTGATCTCATGTCAGTGGGAACACCTCTCTTTCAACTAGCCTGCATATGAGGGTTCTGCTTAAGTACTCATGGATATCGTCACCTAAATATGTATGTATGTATATATATATACTTTTTTTTTTTTTCCCTACTCAACTAGAATCCTTTTTGGAATTCCATAAAAGTTATTTTGGCTACTGTGAGTTCCTGAATACTGTCATGTGGTAGAGAGCTTTGGAAGAGAATTTGATTCATTTTCAAATTCATAAATATTTTCCATATTTGTAGTCATCCACTCCCAAATAATAGGGTTTGGATATGAATTAAAAGAAAAGGTAGGATAGGGTACGCCTGGGTGGCTCAGTTGGTTAGGCATCTGCTTTCGGCTCAGGTCATGATCCCAGGGTCCTGGGATCGAGCCCCTCATCGGGCTCCCTGCTCGGCAAGGAGCCTGCTTCTCCCTCTCCTTCTGCCTCTCCCCCTGCTCATGCTTTCTCTCGCTCTGTGAAATAAATAAATAAAATCTTAAAAAAAAAGAAAAGGTAGGATAGCAGTATAAAGATAAAATAAGTTAATCAAGAGCTAAAATGATGTAAGAATATTCTCAGATATTTGACATTTTTGTCATCTGAATGAAGGATGATTATTTTTTTTTTCCTATGGAATCCTAAGATGTGAGAATAGGAACAACTATACATTATTCTTGGAGGAAACATAATGGTTTAGTGCCTACTTTGGGAACTAGGATGTGTTTGCCTGGGTGGGGGGGAGACAGTCGAGTTCCTCACCTCAGTGAGGCTCTGTTGGATATACAGCACTCCTGAGTCTCCTTAAGAGCAACAAAGGATCATCACCCGCTGCCCTGACTCTGGAGGCGGACTGGTGAGCCCTCAGCACTAAGCCTCTGAGGCCAGTGCAGGCTTTTTTCAGAAGATTCAAGTTCATGAGTGCATTGGATGGAGGCAAAAGTTTGGACACCTGGAATTCTATATTCTCCCCAGTTTTCCTTCTTTCTTACTTTTTTCAATTAAGAAAAGATTTTTCCTTATTCCTTCTGCTTCTTCCAGGCCACTTCTTCAGTTCTCATAAAGGAACATGGTCCTTTGAAAATTCTCTGAGGAAAAAAATGAGAAAGAAAAAGCATTT